CGATGGCGCTTCCACGAGTTTCCTCGCCCGCATCACGCGGTGGCTCACCGGAACCGTTGACACCGCGATCCAAGATAAGAGCTCTGCTGGCAACAGTAGAGAGCAGTGACGACGAAGGACCACATACTGGCAACAGGAAATCAAAATCGTCTCTCATTTCTCAATTGCCTCGCAAGATACACAGTAGTCCTCGATTGGCACAAAATGACAATGAGTCTGACGAGTCTGACGTTGCAGTTCGACCGAGAGGGAAGCTCGCGTCACGGATGCAGGGTGGTTCGGCAAATACAAAGAGCGCTTCTCAGAGCCCCTCGGCCCCAGAGACGGCAAGAGAACGCGTGAGGAGGATGCTGCAACGCGACGAGGCGGAGCAACAGGAGAATTCGGTGGCCCACGGCGACCAAGACGACGAGCTTCCCACTGCCCCGAGGCGGTTGAAACGTCGAGCTCCTGTTGATGACGAATCTGATGCTGCAGAGAGAACATCCCGGTCTCATAGCCCCGGATTGTTCGTCTCTTCCCCAATGCGTCCTTCCCCAGTGAAAAGCGCGGCCGGGGCAGCGGATTCGGATAACGACTTACCGCCGCTGAAATCAGATCGTTTCCAGGCTCTCGTCGAACGAAAGAGACAAGAACGTCTTGCACGCGAAGCCGCAGAGGAGGCCCGCAGGGTTGAGCGACGAGCTCAGCAAGAACATCTTGCCTCTGAGCTGGAGCAGCTCGTTTCGGATGATGATGTCGACGGCATCACCGACGACGAAGGTGGCAGACGACTCACACAAGAAGTTCGCCCAACGAGGAAAGCGAGCAAGAAGGCGATTGAGGAAATGAACAGGGAGACGCAGCGGATGGCCAGAAGCATGCAGCTTGCTCATGAGGCTAAGACAAAGAAGAAGATCTCTAAAGCTAGCCTTTTCCAGCGGTTCCATTACAAGCCTGTTGGTGGGGGTGAAACCACATTGCCTGCTGCCAACAGCTCCAGCCGACCTACGACACCGCAGTCTGATGTTGAGATGGGACATGCGGATACACCTCCTAGCTCTCCACCTCTGGGTAAGCAGGATGGTGGTCGGCTTGTCAATGAGGACACTGCTGTTCCAACAGAAAACATCGAGGCTGCAGCTCAACCAGGAGTTGCCGCCAAGACAGCGAGCCTCACAATGGCAAGTGTAGATGCTGGTTCACAGGCACGGCCAAAGCGAAGAGTACGTGTTCGACTGCCTGTCATGCCCACAAACGCAGTTACAATCGACACGGACGACGATCTCCAGATTACGACTTCGGTCAAGGACAAGGTTGATGCTCTGTTTGCAAACATTCCTTCCAAGACGTCATCCAAGACTCAATCTCTACAAATTTTCCGTGCTTTGGCACAGGTGAAGTCTCCTGGCAAGGAGAGCCGCGGCAAGAAAGACCAGTCCAGGATGAACCCTGGAGAGCTTCAGGCTTATTTGCAACTCAAAGCCCGCCAGCAAGCCAAATTGGAGCGCGATCGCCGCCTGGAGGTTCTCAAGGGACAAGGAATTGTCATCCAGACCGCTGAAGAGCGCGAAAGACAAGAGCAAGAAGTCGAGGACATTGTGGCCAAGGCTAGACAAGAGGCCCAGAAGCTCATGGAGGAGGAGAGAAGCGAGGCTAAGCGGCAACAGAAGGAGAATGGCGAAGTTGATCCTCTTGCTTGGGATGACAGTGACGACGAAGAATACCAGGATCCGGCTGAGGAGGCGGATGCGGAGGCATCAGAGTTAGAAATGTCCGGGTCTGAGGATGAGGCAGAGGCAGACGGCACGGAGGAAGATGAGGGCGCCGAAAACCCTCTATTTGACGAGGAGGCTGACTCTAGCGCATCTGAAGCCGAGACCGCTGCTCAAGACCAGGCTGATATGGATGAGATGGAGCAACCAGCCCCGAGGAGACAACGCAGAGTACGAAACAAGGCCATATTAGTGCTTTCGGATGATGAAGGTGAAGTGCAGGCTACACCCAGGCCTGTCAAGGTTACTGCTACCCAGATGACACCCGCGGGTGCAGGCACCATATCTCCTGTCGCTCCCGGCTCAGTTCTACGATCTGCGAAAAAGACGTTTATTCCCGGACTGCCTGTCCAGGGGCCTGCTGGGCTGGGACTCACACAGATATTTGCTGGCACCATGGACAGCCAAATGAGCGATTGTGCAGCCGGGCCCACGCAGTCTATGATGCCGGATTTCGACCACTTCCCCGATTCCAACTTTTCAGCCACCATGGACGAGCCGATTGAAGAAATGATTGTTGATTCTCAACAAGAGGAGACCCAAGGGGTGCAGCTCAACCTCTCACAGTCTCAGATGCATGGTCTCGGAACGCTGATTGCCAACGGAATGCAGACTCAGCTGTCTGAGACACTGGAGCTATCCCAGGATGTGGGCTTGCAACAACATACCCCTCTCCGAGACAGATTCGTAGATCCTCCCTTCTCAACGGTTGAGACCATGATTGCCGACAAGCAGGACGTGGACATGTCCCAGGAGTCACCGGTCGTTCGAAGAGGCCGGCTTCGGCGAAGAATGGACATGTCCCCTGCCGAGACTGCTATCCCGGAGGCCAGTGAGCCCAGCGCACCCAGCATTCAAGGCAACGCCTTCCAAGCTATGCAGGATGCAGCCAAAAAAGAGCAGAGACTCCGTCTTGCCGACGATTTTGATCGTAAGAAGAGCAAGGCTAAAGAAATGGTTGAGGAGCAGGCCGAAGAATCAGAGGATGAATACGCCGGTCTAGGTGGCGTGGACGGCGAGGATAGTGACAATGAGTCCAACGGGTCGATGGAGGAGATGATTGACGACGCGGCTCTCAACGAAAACGACAAACGGAAGCTAGCTGCGTTTTATGCGTAAGTTGCAGTGCCTCTCTTCCCCCCCTGACCACGTTGTGGATAATAGAAGCTAACTTGAGCCCAGTGATCGTGAACGGGCCAACGACGAACAACAGGTCGAAAGGCTCTTCAAGGACATCACCAGCGGCATGCTCCGTCGCAAGCGCGGAGGCGATTTTGACCTCTCGGACTCGGACTCCGATGGTGAGGCTCGCAAGCGCATGAAGCGCCGACAATTCGCCAAGATGCAAAAGGCGCTCTTTGCAGACGAGCGTGTCAAGAAGATTGCTGAAAACCCCGGAAATCAAGCATTTATGCGAACCATTGAGGACCGCGACAGTGACGATGAGATTGATCTCCTGGGCGCTCTCGACACGCCGTCACAAGCGGACTCTGAGTCTCAAAACGACACCCAGGAGCAAGCTCAGCATCCTACCTTGATCCCTGACAGCCAGCCTACACAACCACAACCACAACCACAACCACAGCCACTTTCTTCAACAGCAGACAACAGCAGAGCGCCGGCGAGCATGCGCAGAACAAAGAACGGCAAGAAACCCTCCAACATAGGTGAGGTGCGCGAAACGCTGTCCAACCTCCTTGACGAGCCACACGGATCCATCATCCCCGCCACAGAAGTTGGTTCCGACAGCGAAGGAGAACAACAACAAGAAGAAGCCGACGACGACGACCTGTCACGCAGCAACAAGGAGAACCAGCCCGTAGTAGATCGGATCAGCCTCAAGCGCAACACCTCGAGCACGAGCTCCACCGTTCGCATGGCTTTCACCACACAGACGTCGTCGTCCTTCAAGGTGCCCGCGCTGCTACGACGAGCCACCACCAACTCAAGCCTCATGTCCGGGTCCTCGGGGAGTTCCGCCATGAGCAGCGTGGGGGGATTCGGCGACGACGCCAAGATCAAGAAGGGCGCGGGCAAGAAGAGCGGCATCGGCGGCTTCGCGAGGGAGAACGAGCAGAGAGCCAAAGTGCAGGAGAGCGAGAGGCGGAGGCAGGAGAGGCGCGTCAAGGGTGCCAGGGGCAGAATAGGCATGGTCGGCGGTATCTTGGGCAAGGGAACATTCGGGTAGTTGCCCGTCATGATGATGACTTTTTGCGAGCGGGAGGGCGTTTATTTTCTTTCTTCTTTTTGGGGCTAGTTTGCTATTGGCCATGGCTGGCGCTTTATGGGAAGGGGAGCCTGTGACTTTTGATATCCGGTAGATTATATACTTCATTTGGGTATTCAGCACCAGTGATATCATGGAAGAACTCATCGTGGTCTACGCGTGACCTAGAAAGCCCGCCGCCGTGTGCGTGACAAGCCCTCCCCGGTTCTTGTAGGCCTCGTGTCTGGTATACATAAACCTACGTGTAGCTTCCTCCGCGTTCCTGGACGCCCGTCGAACTATATACGGATGCTATTCCTCCGTGTCCTCCGCTACCTGGACTGGCAACACGGCCTGCCATGCTGAAATGTGAGGATTTGAGAGAATGGATGCGTCTGGGTTCGTCTTCTTTGCGGCTTTCTATGGGAGCGCCGTCTTTTTGGTTAGACAGGGACAGTCCATTGAAGTTTACGGAATACAGAGCCAGGAGCCGATTGCGGCGGGACTTGCGTGTAAAAAGTTGATTTGCGCTTCTATTGTGAGGACTAGCTAGTACATACGTTGTGTTATGATCCTACGTCATGGTTGGAAGCCGTTTCATATTTCAGCCATGGAGATGGCGCTCATCTGCAACACGTTAGATCCGGCCATGAGGTTAGCAGCGATATCTTTTGGAAGCACAGCTATTTATATCGACGCCTAAACGTGTGGCTTAATTAATAAACTCAAAAGTACTTCTCAACCTCTTGAACACGACTATTGCTGACGCAGGGGTATAGAGCCCAACACCTTCACCCACGCCTCAGGCGTACTGCCTCCTTAACATCGCTCCGTTCCGCATGAAAACAGCCGCTTGAACTGATCCAAGGACCTCGGCCATGTAGAAATCTAGAAACCCCTCCCATGCCCACTAATGCTCATGATGTTACTAGCAATGCCGCCAAATTCGAACCAAGTCGCTATGCCCACAACGCCACGCTTTGGTAATAAAATAAAAGAGTCAAAACACAAAAATCAGCATCTCGCAGCTGCCATCCTGGTCATTTATCCTTTTGCGCCAGAACAACGACGTAATCAACCATGACCTTTGGATCGCTGCGGGTTGCGCTCCGCACCTTGGCATTCAGTACCTCTACCTCGTCTGCCGACCAACCCAGTACATCCCTCACCAACACGGCCGTCATGCCGTCCACTCCGTCAGACAGGCCGACACCCATCATTGTACCGACTTCTTTGCTCCGCAGACCCTTGGGCCAATTGCCAATGGGTGCTTTGAAGACATGCTGCTCAATGGTATTGAACCCCCCTTCGCTGCTCCACCGTTTCAAACACGGCGTTGGATCAAGCATTCTCCCCGTCTTACTACACGCTTCTTTCAGCGTGAGACTGAGTTGCACGAATGCGTGAGTGGGATGGTCTACGCCCATTGAGCCGTCGTCTGAGCTGAATGTCGTTGAAAATTCTTGAAATTCCACCCACCCACCGGGTTTCAAGGCGTCGTGTATTTGGCGAATCAGCCGTGGCCAGTCTTTTATCGAGGCAGACATGTAGCGACAGTGAATGTAGTCGTATGTGTTCGTCTCGATCCAATCCAACTCGACATCGTCTACGAGAAAGTTGACATTTGTGGGGACCCAGGTGGGCTGAATGGGACTCAGATCGTTGCCCGTTATACTCGCTCCGGGGTATAAATCGCCCATTTGGATAGGCCACAGACCCGTTCCTGTACCAATATCCAGGATTCTCATGCCATCAGGCTGAATGGGTGCCAGGAAGAGCCGGTCGTCGAGCAGTCGTGTGGTGGCGTGGTGTAGCATATCCAGACGATCTTGCTCCCGCTCATCGTTGGGAAACGGATACGTACCAGACTGGTAGGCATGGTATCGACGGCCATGTTTCCATTCGTATCTCGTAACGGAGCTTCGTATGGAAGTGCTCGCATTGGACGGGGCCTCTCCAAAGGTGGAATCGTCGTCGTTCATGATGATAGACCCCGGGTGGTGAGGTGATGGTATGTCAGAGGGATCCCCGGCGGTCCCAGGCCGGGCCCGAGAGAGGGTTGTCGGCCCAAGACTAGAATTCGTTTGTTCTATATATCCTTTGTGAAATGGCGCCGTTTGCCAATATCCCTTTATGTCTCGGCCGTGCAGCCTCTCGTGCATTGACCCCAGATCGTGTAGGCCCCAGTTGTCGAGGGATTTTTTCTTTTAAAAAAAAAGAAGGGAAAGAAAAAGAAAGAAGAGAAACCGAGGGAGCAAAGATTACAAAAGCGCGGTCGGTATGATTAGACTGCCGAGAAAAGAAGGTCAAACCCACCAGTCAGAGATGAGAATTGCCGTTTTTGCGAGTAAATTCTAAATGCTAAAAGAATGAGCAACGAATGTCTCGAGTCGTGGCATCCACTGCACACCTGAGCTATTCCGCAACGTGGTACTCCGTACTCGGTACGGAGTAGGGCAGGATCAAATGCCGGGCCTGGGTGCAGTTTAAATTTCAATTTAACCGGCAGAGCTACACAATGGCCAGGCGCAGCAAGGATGTTTGATACCGAAAGGAAGGTGGTCGGAATGATCGGACAATAATACGAGCATGTCCGTGCTTGCGGAGCGAAATGTGGTCGATGCGACGACCAAGTGAATGAATGGGCCAGTCAGTAATGGAGGCCAGCCACTTTTTCAGAGAGGTAGAAAAAAAGAAAGAGACAGAAAAGCGCCGTAACGAGGCGAACAAGAGAGATTTAAGACGAATTGCTGGGAGTCGCGGAGGGTGAGAGGGAGGAATGACGGATGAATAAGGCGGTGGCTGTCGATGCGCAGAATTGATTAGATGGCAATGTTGAACGGGAAAAGCATAAATAACCATGAGCGTCATCCAACGATGGACAAAATATAAGATGAAGGCGCGGAGCACCTTGCAAGCGCAACAACTCTACAACACAGCCGAACGGGATAAGCGACCAGGATCAGGATTATTCTTGTTGCAGTTCGAATTCGAAACAAATCTTGGCCAAAATACAAAGTACCGAGGGCTGGGGGAGGAAACCTGGCGACTCCGTCCGGGTGTATGTATGTATGTACTCGGTCGGTTCTTTGCAGAGTCGCAGCCAACGCAACGAGAAAGGCTGTGTGCGTGTGCGGGTGCGTGTACGTGTGCGTCTGCGTGAAGAACAAGTGTGCGCATGTATGTGTGTGTATGTATGTATGTATGCGTGCGTGTGATGTGCAGACCGACATGCGCGTGCGTCGGAGGTGACGAGTGACGAGATGAAAAAGGGAAACAGGCGACGACCACGATCCGTTTCAAGCTCTCATGAATGGACGAGCATCACGACACTGTGTTTGCATGAGCACGGCGGGAGCACGGCGGGAGCATGGCGGGAGCATGGCGGGAGCATGGCGCATGGCAGGGTGGCCTGGCCGAGGCAGCGATGATGCATGGCGAGCCCTTTGATGCTTAAACGGAGACCGGGGGTCCAGGTGTGTGTCGTCGTCGTCAAGACTCAACAGTGTGCCCTTGGTGCGGCCGTGGTGTCCTCGAGATGTGCCCGTCGAGTGGACTTGTGTGTCGGCATGGGTGAATCAGTTGGACTGAATTGCCGTGTTATAACTGCCCATACCTTGCCATGCCATGCCATCAACCCACATCGGAATGGAGATGGTCCAACGTCCACGCAAAACGGGGTCAAGGCCGATTCTCGCCAGCCCACCGTCAATCTTTGCACCGTGCAGGAAGACTGGCACATTCCGTCCATGACCGCCTCACGCAGCCGTGCCAGTTGGAGAGCCTCCAACTCCGTTCGCTCCCTCCTTCGTTCCTTCCTTCCCTGTCTCACTCCCTCCCTCGCAACACCTTACGAATCAGGCCAAACTCCTACACACACACACACACACACACACACACACACACACGCATACAACTGTGTATGTATGTACATACATACGCATTGCAGAAACACACATCTATTACCATTCTACATGCATCCATACACACACTCAACTCTCAATGACAACCAACAAAAGCCAGCCAGCCCCATCCCTCCCTCCCTCCCTCCTCTTCGGTCAGCTCTGCCCGCGACATGTCAGCAAATACCTTTCCCCTTGAGGCAAAACTCCCCGACACAACAACCGCGACCTGGCCCATAGCCGCGGCCCTCGAAAAAAAGTAGACCGATCCTCCCACCTACAAGCGTTTGCTGTCATTGACCAAGAGGCCATTTGACCCTCATAGATCGGCCAACTCCTGCAAGCCAGCCGTGACGCCGCCCAGCTCCGCTCTCGTGTGCCACGCGACAAGCAGGGGTGGTACTTGGGCATGATTTCCTACGGAGCACCTCGTAATAACATTGTACATACTACGTATTACAATCTTGCCCGAAATAGTACAGTACACACATACAAAGACTACTACTAGTACTACTACGGAGCGCCCGTCGACCCGTCTTGTTCCAGAAGCACATGTGGAACTGTATTGTACCATATTGCACCGCAATACTCATCTTAAAAATGCTTGTTCGATGGCTCCCACCCCTGTCATGCGATGCAATGTCATGTCATTTGCGCCGATTCTGCTTGGCTTGGTTGAGCATGCGCCGCTCACCTTGTTGATCCATCTGCTTCCCGCAAAGTGCTAGCATTGGTATCGGTACAATGCCGTATTGAGAAATGCCGTCCCAGGCACGGCATAATAGGGCGCCCAAGGAAAAAGCTGCACCGAGTCTAATTATTGCCCCCAAGGCTGCCTGCCTGGCCTTGGCCGCCGACAGCCGGTCGCCGTTCCGAGTGGGACTTTTAACTTTGGGACGCGCGGAGCTTGGGACGAGGGTTGAAATTAAAGGCGAATAGCTCCTCGCTGGCGTCGCAGACTTGATGATGACCTGCCTTTTTAAGTACCTAGCTCTTGGTAGGTTGGGCACTGAAGCACGGAGTATGTATGCAGTACTTGATATACGCAGTAATAGGCTTGGACGGCCCGAATCAAACGACCTGGTAGTAATCTTTAGATTCGAAACCCTGTAATATCCAAGACAAGCACGCTGTCGACCCTCGCAATCTCCATGGCAGTAACTCCGGACTCGCCGACTTGGGTTCCTGCACCTCACGCACTCTTGCATATACTACCATTCAAATATACATAGTAATAACCGTTGTCATGATTTCGGTTCCGAAAGCCCTACATGGACAAGCTATGGATCTTGATACTCCGCTATATCATCCCATCCCATCTCATCCCATCTTACCCCGGCCAGTCCATCCAATACTTGAGCCCCATTATACCTGATATGTTGTTGCCCCTGCATCTACAACCATTTCCCAGGGCTGATGAAAGAATAGCCCGATGTTTTCCCCAAGCCTACGCCACGTGCCTTGTAATTACTTGCTTACATTGGCGCGCTGGCACAAGTTGAAAAAGGGAAAGGAAACAAAATAATTCGCATCCCCTTGCTTTTGTTAAAAGTGAATTTGCTACACGACAGGAAACATGGGACAAGGCGGAGGCGTATAAAATCGCCATGGCTGAAGGGTACAAGACACGGAAAGAGAACAGCGAAAAAGGTAGAATTCGTTTAGCTGCTGATTGTTCGCTCAACGCATTCAAGGAACTGCATCCGCCTGTCAGCTTTGGTTCTCCGCTTTGCGCTACACAACATGATAAGCTTACCTTTTCGGACACGACACCCTGGTTGCCCAGGTACCGCGACATGCTCTTGACCAGATCGATTTGCTCTTCCGGGCTCAAGCTCGTAATGGCAGTCTCAAGAACCGTTCCGACGTTGACCTTGTGGAGAGAGATGAAGGTGTGGTAGTACATGTACGCGAAAAACCCCATGATGAACTGACAGTCCATGCGATCCGTCATGCCGCCATGTCCTGGAATCGAGTCACCGAAATCCTTAATTTTGAAGCTACGCTTCAGTCCAGAAGCAAAGAAGCCTCCGAACGGAGCGATGAGAGAGGCAAATGATGCCAAGACGAGAGCGTGAAGCTGCATGGGAGCAAACGTGAAGGAGATATTTGTAAAGCTTGGCGGCAAAAAGAACAACTGGGGCATATGGTACGTGCGAGGTATGAAAACGGGATTCGGATCGCATTGAAGGCCGGTGAAGATGGTGGCGCCGAGGTCCTACGTATAAATGTTAGCGGAAGCTCGACGCTGCGATAAACCAAGGTGCGCGTCCTCTTACATTGACGGGGCAGATAAAGTACTTGGATCGGACCATCAGGTTCACGAGGACCATGCCAAAGAGAACAGTGGCAATCCAAGCACCAACAAATCCTTCCACAGTCTTCTTGGGCGACAATTTGATGAGTTGAGTGCGACCAAAGGCAATGCCGCAAATGTAGGCAAAGATGTCGTTGGTAATGACGAGGGCGGCAGGCAAGAAGAACCAGATCATGCCCTCGAACACATTGTTCATGACGAAATGGGCCTGAACGACGATGAGGTACAGGGCCATGTGCGTCCATGCAAAGTTGGTAAATTGGAACTTGTAGTGTCCGGCTTGGAGCGATGCGACGAAGAAGACGAAGCCTGCTCTGATGGTTAGCTTCTCTTGAGGGGAGACCAGAAAGACCAGAAGAAACGCAGAGTCTTCAAGAAAGAGAGGCTCAACCTACCGAAAACATAGAGGATGAAGCTGATGAAGCGATGGTGGGTGGCAAGCGGTAGCAGGACCTTATCAACCAAGACAATGTGCTTGAAGTAGTATATGACGCTTTCGCCGTAAAGAAAATACATGGTGGTAGCCAACCAGTACCAGTTGAGACTCTTGGTAGATCGAAGGGATCGGGCTCGGCTCGGAACATTTGCAATGGCTATGACCTCCTTGAAGGAAACAATCTGAACCATGGTGACGATGATGATGATGTAGATGTGGCCCATGAAAAGGGCGGTAAAGAAGGCGCCTAGCATGCAAAGAGTCCAGAAGGTGCGAGTGATGAAATTGGCCTTTTTCTTCTGATATTCTTCCTCAGGGGTGGGAGGT